GTGTGTGTGTGTGTGTGGGGGGATGGAGAGTGTGTGTGTGTGTGTGGGTTGGCGGGGGATGGAGAGTGTGTGTGTGGGGGAGAGTGTGTGTGTGGGCAGGAGAGTGTGAGTGTTTTGGGCGGGAGAGTGTGTGTGTGATGGGGGGAGAGAGTGTGTGTGGTGTGGTAGAGAGAGTGTGTGTGGTGTGGGGGAGAGAGTGTGTTTGTGTGAGGTGGAGAGTGTGTGTGTGTGTATGTGTGGAGGGGGGAGAGAGTGTGTGGTGTGGGGGAGAGAGTGTGTAAGGAGGAGGGAGAGAGAGTGTGTGTGTGTGTATCGTTGGGGGGGGAGTGGGGAGGGGGCATGGGGGGTGAGAGGGGAAGAGAGAGTGTACGTATGTGTGTGGGGGGTGAAGGTCCCGACCCGAAAAGTCAGCTTTTCTGCTCCTCTGATGCTGCCTGGCCTGCTGTGTTCCTCCAGCTCTACACTGTGTATTCTCAATTTATAGACAGTCAGTCAGTATGGCGTTTTATAAATTCCTACTTTAGAAATAAAACCAGTCTGACTCCAAACTAAAGCATAAACAGATTCTAAACAAGGCCTCACACCAACATGCATTGTCTGACCTAAAATGTCACCTCTTCTTTTCACTGATAAAACCTTTAGTTCTCTCAGGACCATGACTTAAAAGGAATTTGGGGATTTACATAAACATATTAATCAATTAAAACCTTTAACTGACTAAAGATTTACCAGTATCTTAGGTTTGTTTAGTACATCCTCATCAATGGTGTGAACCTTTGATCTTTTACTTATAAATTCTGTGTCTGACACTACCTCTCTCACTAACGTCTGAAGAAGGAGTGAGGCTCTGAAAGCTTGTGTTTTCAAATAAACCTTTTGGACCATAACCTGGTGTCGTGTGATTTCTGACTTCACCTTGCTAGCTTCCACCATTACGACTGAATTCCTGCCTTCCAACTCCAGTCCCTGAGGAGCTGTCCTTAACCCTGATAGGCCAGGACTATGTTCTGGATCCCACTACCTGCCTGATTTGAAGTCACATCCTCCTGTCCCTGACCTTTGACCAAATCTGAAGTACATAGCTTTGGGGTGTGAATACAGCCTGGAACAAGGTGTCCAGAAGGAACAAAGAACAGTGCGGCATAGGAACAGGAAAGGGCACACCATGCCTGCTGACACATAATACCTTTCGGACCTAAAAGCCTTTTGCTTCTACACTGTCTGCATCCCTCTATTCCCTGCCTATTCATGTATCTACGAAGATGCCTCTTAAATGTTGCTGTTGTATCCATGTCCACCACCTCCTCTGGCAGCTCATTCCATGCTCTTATCCACTGTGTTAAAAACTTGCTTCTCATATCTCCTTTAAACTTTCCCCCTTTTACCTTAAACCTATGTTCCCTAGTAATTAACATGTCTAACCTGGGACTCCACTCTATCCGTGCCTGTCATAATTTTGTAAATCTCTATCACGTTGGCCCTCACCCTCTGACGTTCAAGTGAAAACAAGCCAACTTTATCCAGTCTGTCCTCATAGCCAATACCTCCAAACTAGGCAACATCCTGGTAAACCATTTCTCTACCCTCTCCAAAGTCTCCACATCGTTCTGGTAGTGTGGCGACCAGAACTGTACACCATATGCAGCGACAACCTGACTTTCCAAATTTTTATAGTCTACGCTCCAACCAATGAATTCAAGCGTGCCATATGTCTTTTTGACCACCTTATCTACTCGTGTTGCCATTTTCGGGGAACTGTGGCCTTGAATGCATAGATACCTCTGTACGTTGATGCTACGATTTTGGTTTGATTTATTATTGTCACCCTCTGGCGACTGTCTGTGTGGAGTTTGCACATTCTCCCCATGCCTGCGTGGGTTTCCTCTGGGTGCTCCGGTTTCCTCCCACAGTCCAAAGATGTGCAGGCTAGGTGGATTGGCCATGCTAAATTGCCCGTAGTGTTCAGGGATGTGTAGATTAGGTGGGTTATAGGGGGATGGGTCTGGATGGGACACTGAGGGTCGGTGTGGACTTGTTGGGCCAAAGGGCATGTCTCCATACTGTAGGGATTCTCATATTGAAAGCATGATGTACCGAGATACAGTGAGAAGTATTGTTCTGTGTGCTAACCAGACAAATCACACCTTATATAAGTACACCAGGGTGATAGAACAGAATCAGAATGTAGTGTCATAGCTATAGAGAAGGTGCAGAAAGAGATCAACTCTAGTGCATGAGAGGTCTGTTCATAAGTCGGATAACAGCAGGGATGAAGTTGATCTTAAATCTGTTGGTACGTGTTTGCAAATTTTTTTGCCTTCTGCCTGACAGAAGAGGGTGGAAGAGAGTATAACCAGGGTGGGAGAGATCCTTGGCTATGTTGGCTGCTTTCCTGAGGCAGTGGAAGTATAGACAGAATCAACAGAAGGGTTCCGACCCGAAACGTCAACTTTCCTACTCCTCTGATGCTGCCTGGCCTGCTGTGTTCGTCCAGCTCCACACAGCGTTGTCTCTGACTCCAGCATCGGCAGTTGCTACTATCTCCAACAGAAGGAACGCTGTTTTTTGGGTTTTGCCATTTATTATATACTTCCCTCCTGTATTAGATCTTCTATAATGTGTCACCTTGCTTTTATCCAAATTAAACTCCATCTGCCATTTCTCTGCCCGAGTCTCCACCCTATCTATATCCTGTTGTATCTTCTGGCAATCCTTCTCACTATCCGCAGCTCCCCCCAATCGTTGTGTTATCCATAAACTTACTGATCTGATCACCATTTATATATATTACAAACATCAGGGCTCTCAGCACTGATCCCTGCGAAACACCACTGCTCACAGATCTCCAGTCAGAAAAACACTCTTCCACCACTACACTCTTTTTTATGACTAGGCCAGTTCTGTATTCATCTTATCAGCTCACCACGGATCCCATTTGAGGGGCCTTGTCTATACCGTTTGTATCAGCCTGTCATGAGGGACCTTGTAAAAGGCCTTGCTAAAGTTCATATAGGCAACATCCATAAACCCTGCCCTCATCAGTCATCTTTGTCACTTCCTCAAAAAACTCAGTCAAGTTTGTGAGACACGACCTTCCTCGCACAAAGCCATGCTGCCGATTGCTAATAAGTCCATATTTTTCCAACTGTGAATAAAGAAATCCTATCCCTAAGCATTCTTTCCAATAATTTGCCTATCATTGACCTAAGGCTCACCAGCCTGTAATTTCCTGGAGTAGCCCTGTTGCCCTCCTTAAACAAAGGAATAACACTGGCCGTTCTCCAGTCCTCTGGAACCTCTCCTGTGATGAAAGAGGATATAAAGATTTCATACGCGTCCCCAATAATTTCCTCCCCTGCCTCCCTCAGCATTCTGGGACCGATCCCATCAAGTCCTAGGCACTTGTCCACCATCATGCTTTTTAAATCACCCAACACCTCATTTTTATTGACATGTCCCAGAATATCAACATATCCCTCCTTAGACTCACCAGCCACTATGTCCTTCTCCTTCATGACTACTGACGCAAAGTATTCATTAAGTTCTTTCTTGAGTTCTTTCCTGCTATCTTTGTATTCTTCATGGGCTCTGTCTGTCTTCACTTTCCTAAACCTTACATATGCCTTCTGTTTCTTTTTGCTTTTCCAAGGTTCCCAAATCTTGCCATCCTTATCCTTCATTTCAGATGAACGTGCTAGTCCTGAACTCCAAAAAACTTTAAAAGATTCCCATATACCAGATGCAGATTTACCCTCGAACAGCCTGCCCTCAGTCTACATTCCCCAGTTCCTGCTGAATATTGTGGTAGCTAGCCTTCTTCCAATCTAGTACTTTCACCCGAGGATTACTGTTATCCTCATCCATGAGTAACTTAAAACTCACAGAATCGTGGTCAGAGTTCCTGAAATGCACCCCCACTGAAACTTTGATCACCTTCAATCCCCAATACCAGGTCTGGTAGGGCCCCTTCCCATGTTGGACTATTTATACATTGTTGGGAGAAACCATCTAGGACACATCTAACAAATTCCCAAACAACCCGATCCAAGCCCCTGGCGCTAGGCAAGTCCCAGCCAATATGAGGGAAATTAAAATCACCCACTATAACAAACTTGGTGTTTTTACATTTTTCCATAATCAGTCCATGTAACTGTTCGTCTCTCACCTGCTGGCCATTGGGAGGCCTGCAGTACTATCCCATCAAAGTGATTGCACCCTTGCTATCCCTGAGCTGTCCTCATATGGCCCGGCTGGATGAGCCCACCAAGTTGTCCTCCCTCTGTCCCTGAAGTTTGGGCTCCAGCTCATCTTTTCTGAGCCAGAGTTCCCGAAGCTGCAGATCACCCAGACCTCCACCGGGACCCACATTCTAAATCTGCAGCACAAAGTGAGAGACTGAGAACTACACAATAAAGCAACAACAAAAAAGGACACTGTAACAATGAAGAAAATGACACAGCGAGAAACCTGTAATTACTCGGTAAAAAACAAGCTACATAGTAAGTCAGCAACTGCAAGCAACTATGGAGAGAGAAACATTGTTAACCTTTTGAGTCTGGTAAGTGTGGGAAAATGTTTTTTTTAAACTTTTGACAGAGACAGAGGAGGAGGAAGGGGAATAGTTGGTGTAGATGCCCCAGTGCAAATGACAAAGAGAATGTTAATGATGGAGAAAAAGAGATGGACAATGGGTGTAAATTAAGGTGGGGGAGGGAGAGATTTGGTCCTTGCTACTAAGTGCAAAATTAACAAGATACAAACACGACACAACTGAGGAGTGTAACAGAGATGGAGAACAGAATTCTGTGAGGAGGATGACTGGCAAGGTACATGTGTACAAGGGAGCAGCCATTAAGAAAGTGGGCCAGTGTTATAGTGGAAATGCTGAGGCCTTTACTCGAGAGGTTTCGGCATGAGGAGGCTGAGCAGGGAGACAGGGTGAAGCAGGTAAGGGCTCTGAAACTCTACTTTCTTTCTGTCCAGACTGAAGGCAGTAGGGTTGGCAGTTAGGGCAGGGGCATGCTCCTCTTGCAGGATGTGGGAGATCAGGGAGACTTCCAGTTTCCCTGGTGGCTACACCTGCGGAGAAGTGCACCCGACTCCATCTCCTGACAGACCGCGTTAGGGAACAGGAGCTGGAGCTGGATGCACTCAGGATCATTCAGGATGCAGTGAACATCATTGGTAAGAGCAATAGTGAAGTGGTCACTCCTAAGGTGCAGGCTGCAGGGAGCAGGGTGACCACCAGAAGAGGTGAGAGGGGAAGGCAGAGAGTACAGGGTTCCCCTGTGGCCATTTCCCTCAATAACAGGTGTACAGCTGTGGATACTGTTGGGGAGAGGGGGGGACCATTCAGGGGCTAGCACTACCAGTCAGGTCAGTGGCACTGTGACCGGCTCTGAGGCTCAGAGGGAAAGGGTGCAGTCAGACAGCAATACTGACAGGAGACTCAATTGTGACAGGGACAGACAGGAGATTCTGAGGCTGCAGAAGAGACACCAGGATGGTGTGTTATCCCCCGGGTGGGAGGGTCAAGGATGTCTCTGAGCAGTTGCAGAACATTCTGAAGGAGGAGGCTGAACAGCCCGAGGTCATTGTGCACATCAGTATAAATGACATAGACAGACAAAGGGATGGGGTCCTGTGAAACAAGTATAGGGAGTTAGGTAAGATGTTAAAAAGCAGGACCTCAAGGGTAGTCATCTCCAGATTACTCCCAGCGCCACACACCAGTGAGGATAGGAATAGAAAGATAGGCCAGATGAATGCGTGGCTGAGGAGCTGGTGTAGGGGGCAGAGGTTTCAGTTCTCAGATCATTGGGATCTCTTCTGGGATAGAGGTGACCTGTACAAGAGGAACGGGTTGCACTTGAACTGGAGGGGATCCAATATCCTGGTGGGGAAATTTGCCAGTGTTACCCAGGAGGGTTTAAACTAGTTGGGTAGGGTGGGACTCTGAATAAGGGAGGGGCCATCAAGAAATCAGGGGAAAATATATTAACCATGGAGAGCAAGTTTACTATTCAGGATAGCCAGGGGCACAGTAAAGGGAGGGAAAAGGCTATTTAAACAGTTCATCCACTTCACTAACACCTTCCACCCCAACCTTAAGTTCACCTGGACCATCCCTCTCTCCTGTTCCTGGACCTCCCTATTTCCATCTCTGGCAACCACCTGGAAACCGATATCCATTTCAAGCCTACCGACTCCCACAGCTACCTAGAGTACACCTCCTCTCACCCACCTTCCTGCAAAAAGGCCATCCCCTATTCCCAATTCCTTTGCCTCTGCCGCACCTGCTCCCGAGATGAGGCATTCCACTCCCGGACGTCCCAGATATCCTCGTTTTTCAAGGACCACAACTTCCCCCCGACAGTGGTCGAAAACGCCCTCGACCGCGTCTCCCGCATTTCCCACAACTCATCCCTCACACCCCCTCCCCACAATAATAACCAAAACCGAATCCCCCTCGTCCTCACGTACCACCCCACCAACCTCCGGATCCAACCCATCATCCTCAGACACTTCCGCCATCTGCAATCCAACCCCACTACCAAAGACATTTTTCACTCCCCACCCTTATCTGCTTTCCAGAGGGACCACTCTCTCTGTGACTCCCTTGTCCACTCCACACTCCTCACCAGCCCCACCACACCCGGCACTTTTCCCTGCAACCGCAGGAAGTGCTACACCTGCCCCTACACCTCCCCCCTCACCCCCATCCCAGGCTCCAAGAAGACCTTCCACATCAAGCAGATGTTCACCTGCACATCTGCTAATGTGGTATACTGTATCCGCTGTTCCCGATGTGGCCTCCTCCACATCGGGGAAACCAAGCGGAGGCTTGGGGACCGCTTTGCGGAACACCTATGCTCGGTTCGCACTAAACAACTGCACCTCCCAGTTGCGAACCATTTCAACTCCCCTTCCCATTCCTCAGACGACACGTCCATCCTGGGCCTCCTGCAGTACCACAACGATGCCACCCGAAGGTTGCAGGAACAGCACTTCGTATTTCGCTTGGGAACTCTGCAGCCCAATGGTCTCAATGTGGACTTCACAAGCTTCAAAATCTCCCCTCCCCCTACCGCATCCCAAAACCAGCCCAGCTCGTCCCCGCCTCCCTAACCTGTCGTCCCACCTATCCCCTCCTCCCACCTCAAGCCCCACCCCCGTCTCCTACCTACCTTGCCTCATCCCGCCTCCTTGACCTGTCCATCCTCGCTGGACCAACCTATCCCCTCCCTAACTCCCCACCTACACTCACCTTTACTGGCTCCACCCCCGCCTCCTTGACCTGTCTGTCTCCTCTCCAACTATCTTCTCCTTTTTCCATCTTCTATCCGCCTCCCCCTTTCTCCCTATATATTTCAGAATACCCTTCCCCTCCCCCATTTCTGAAGAAGGGTCCTGATCCAAAACGTCAGCTTTCCTGCTCCTCTGATGCTGCTCGGCCTGCTGTGTTCATCCAGCTCTACAATTGTTATCTCAGATTCTCCAGCGTCGGCAGTTCCTACTACCTCTAGTTTAAACGATTGACATATGCTAGCTTCTGCCTAATGGCCCCAAAATTGGCCCTGCTCCAGTTCAGCACCTTAACCTATGAACCTGTCCTATCTTTTTCCATAACTATGTTAAAACTAAGAGAGTTATGGTCACTGGTCCCAAAGTGTTCTCTGATTGGCACTTCAGTCACTTGCCTGACCTCGTTTCCTAAGAGGAGGTCCAGTGTTGCACTCTCCCGAGTAGGGCTCTCGACATATTGATTTAGAAACTTTCTTGGACACATTTGACAAATTCCACTCTGTCCAGGCCTTTTACACCCCGGGTGGCCCAGTCAATACAGGGGAAATTAAACTCTCCAACCAATACTGCTCTGTTATTCCTACAGGTATCTGCAATCTCTCTATGCGTCTGCTCCTCTAGTACCTGCTGGCTATTTGGCGGTCTATAATACAGTCCCAACAGAGTGACCATCCCCTTACTAAGTTCTAACCATATGACCTCATTTGATGGCCCCTTAAGAATATCCTCTCTAAGCACTGTTGTTATGTCCTCCCTTATCAAAAGGGCAACTCCCCCTCCTCACTTACTTGTAATTCGGTCAGGCCTGTAGCTTCTGTATCCTGCAACATTGAGCTGCCAGTCCTGCCCTCACCCTACCCCCTAACCCTGCATTTTCCATGGCTAATCCACTTAGCCTGCACATCCCCGGACACTTCAGCATAGCCAATCCACTTAACCTGCACACCTTTGCACTGTGGGAAGAAACTGACGCAGACACAGGGCAGAATATGCAAACTCCTGAGGGTGGATTTGAACCTGGATCCCTAGCACTGTGAGGCAGCAGTGCTAACCACTGAGCCACCCAGTGGACTAGATGGGTTTTCCCCCAACGATCAACGATCGACGATCAACGATCAACGATTTCATGGTCACCATTAAATTCCTAATTCCAGATATTGATTGACTCCAAATTCCATTACCTGCCTTGGCAGGATTTGAACTGGAGTCCCCGGGACATTACCGGGGTCTCTGGATTGATGGTCTAGTGGTAATACCGCTGGGCCATCACCTCCCCACTATTCCAACAGACCGGGACTCATTATGACCCACTGCCATCCACCTGAGAGACCTGATGAGAGTGCATGGAGGTCAGCTGTAATAGGAGATTTCTTCTCATATTCTTTCAGACAAATGATGCCTTAGGGGCGACGTGGAATTGGCTCTACTTCATCCCACTCATTATCATTGGCTCCTTCTTTGTGTTGAACCTGGTGCTCGGAGTCCTGTCTGGGTAAGTGTGACAGAAATCCCCCCACCCCCTGGGGAGGGAGGGTCAGCCAGGCAGCATGATCCAGCGACACCCATCTGCACCTACAGATCAGGCCTGGCCAGGCAGAAACCCTGTCACTACGGCTTCCTGCACCGTGTGCCAGGGCTTAGAGTTAAACTGAGCCCCAGCTCCGGTGGTGTGCCAGCACAACACACATCCCCAAACAAGATTATCTGACTGATTGTTATTTACAAAGGGAAATCCAGTCTCAGGAGTCGGGTCATATTGTGGGGCAGCACAAATGTGGTCCAGGAATGTTCCACAGGGACAGTGCAGAGGGAGCTTTACTCTTTATCTAACCCCGTGCTGTCCCTGCCCTGGGAGTGTTTGATGGGGGACAGTGTACAGAGAGCTTTACTCTGTATCAAATCCCGTGCTGTCCCTGTCCTGGAAATGTTTGATGTGGGAACAGTGTAGAAGGAGCTGTACACAGTATCTAACTCCATGCCGTCCCTGTCCTGGAAGTGTTTGATGGGGGACAGTGTACAGAGAGCTTTACTCTTTATCTAACCCTGAGCTGTCCCTGCCCTGGGAGTGTTTGATGGGGGATAGTGTACAGAGAGCTTTACTCTGTATCTAACCCTGTGCTGTCCCCGTCCTGAAAGTGTTTGATGGGGGACAGTGTAGAGAGAGCTTTACTCTGTATCTAACTTGAACAAAATAATTGACATTTAATTTGTGAGATTTTCCAGAGGAGTCAAAGACGCGTTCTGAGCTGAACAGCTCAGAAACTGAGCTGAAATTGTGAAGCTGGGTTTAAATACAGGTGGTCAACCTGTGCTCACCATTCACATGTTGGCAAAGCACGGGCCGTTCTGGTGTATGGAGGTTAGTCTCTCGCTGCCTGGCATATTTCCATCTGGTGTAGACATCGTGACAACAGTACAGGAAGGTGTGAGGCTGGGGACTTGTCTGAATGATTTCCCCCTCCCTAACTACCCTCTACTTCTCCAGCGAATTTGCCAAGGAGCGGGAGAGGGTGGAGAACAGGAGGTCGTTCCTGAAGCTGCGCAGGCAGCAGCAAATCGAGCGGGAGCTGAACGGTTACCGAGCGTGGATTGACAAAGCCGGTGAGTGCTGAGTTAGCATGGGCTCACCTGAGCCTCCGTCGCCTTCCCACAGCTGCAACAAAGTGAGCTGCGTGTTCTTGGCAGATTCCAACAAGAGCTGGTTTCACTGAGGACTGCATTATGGAACAAGATCAACCACAGTGCATGGTGCAAATCTCTTGTTTTCTTTATGAGCTTGTGAGAGGCTTTCCCCTAGCTTTGCTCGTGGCCCTTAGCTGATTTTTTTTCATTTCTCCTGAGAATATCTGAAGGGCTCAGAGTGCCAGAACCACGTTCAGAGAGTTCCAAAGGGAACTGTTTGTTGCTGGACGATGTTGCTGAGGGTGGGAAGGACAAAATACTTGCTTTGAATCCCCAGGGGACACAAATATGATCAGATTCCAGTGGTAAGGCACCAGTCTACACAACCCCCACCTCCGAGCCAATTGCCAGCCTCAGTAAACCAGCTCAAACCCTCAAGATCAAACCATAATCCTCATGGTAATGACTCTGACCCTAGTTATCTAGCCTGAGCCATAACTCTAATGATCCAGCAGAGTTTCTAACAGATTAACCATAACCCTAATGATTAGCCAACCCCAACAAACCAAACCCTAACTTGAATGCCTCAGCTCTGAACCTAATCCTGGTGATCTCCAGTCATAATGTCAAATGTTCTAATTACACTGAAGCATCTCTGCATTCTCCTCACAGCTCACCCCCCACCTCCCAACTTTGTGTCATCTGCAGACTTGGAGACATTACAATTAGTTGCACATCTAAATCATTAACATATATTGTTGAATAGCTGGGGCACAAGAACTGCTCCCTGCCACTGGCTGACCCTTGGAAAAAGACCCGCTTTAATGCCAAGATCTGAACACAAAGGATCACACTCAATTCCTGAGACTTGATCCCCCCAACACTCTCAACTGCTCATCGCCCCAAATTAAAATTAAAGCACATGGGGCACTGGGGGGAGTGGACTGGCATGGATAGAGTACTGGTTGGAAGACAGGAAACAAAGTGTAGGAATACTAGTCAGAGACATTACCACTAAGTCACCATTTCCCATTGGGCAGCAGAGTAGCTCAGTGGTTAGCACTGCTGCCTCACAGTGCCAGGGACCCAGGTTCAATTCCACCCTTGGCCGACTGTGTGGAGTTTGCACATTCTCCCCACATCTGCGTGGGTTTCCTCTGGGTGCTCCGGTTTCCTCCCACAGTCCAAAGATGTGCAGGCTAGGTGGATTGGCCATGCTAAATTGCCCATAGTATTCAGGGGTGTGTAGATTAGGTGGGTTATAGGGGGGATGGGTCTGGGTGGGATGCTCTGAGGGTTGGCGTGGACTTGTTGGGCGGAAGGGCCTGTTTCCACACTGTAGGGATTCTATGATCTATGAACTAGGGCCACAGTTTAAGGATATGGGGTAGGCTATTTAGGACTGAGATGAGGAGGAATGTCTTCACCAAGAGAGCGGTGAGCCTGTGGAATTCACTGCCACAGAAAGCAGTTGAGGGCAAAACATTGAACGCTTTCAGGAAGGAGTTACATAGATCTCTTTCACCCTAAGACCTCCAAGGATATGAGGAGAAAGTGAGAGCAGGGGACTGTGTTGGATGATCATATGATCAGGCTCGAATGGCCTACTCCGACTCCAAGTTTCTATGTCTCTAAGTAAATCCTTCAGACATTTCTACTCACCAACTCCCCAGCCCCCTTGATATTGACCCTCTCAAATGAATGCCGATACCTCCACATCAAATCCAAAACCTTAAAATATGTTTTGTCTTTAACGCGCTGTCGGATTGTCAGAATGTGGGATGCTGGGACTCGTTGTGAAGTTTCAGACTAACTGCATCCATCTCCCTTTCTGACCCCAACAGAGGAGGTGATGCTGTTGGAAGAAAATAAAAACGCTGGGGAAAAATCCGCACTGGATGGTAAGACGCTTGTTCTTCTCTGCCTGCTGATACACCGGCCTTTCAACAGAGCCCTCTCCACCCACAGCAAGGCGGGGAGCCCTGCTCCAGCTCTGGCTATCCAGACTCTGCTCTGATTACATTGAGCTCTGGATAATGTGCTTCAACTTCCTGAGCACCTGCAGCCATCTTGAACGGAGCAGTAGAAATTTGAAGCTGCTTATTCACTGTGACAGAAGGGTTTTGGGCTTTGTGCTGTGGAACCTGTTTCTCGATAGCTCAATGGTGCTGGCCAGGGCAGCATTTATTGCCTGTTCCCTAATTGCCCAGCGGGCAGTTAAGAGTCAAACACATTGACGTGGGACTGGAGTCACATGTAGGCCAGACTGGGTAAGGATGACAGATTTCCTTCCCTAAAGGACATTAGTGAACCACATGGGTTTTTATTGCAATCAGCAACAGTCTCATGGTCGTCATTGGACTCTTAATCCCAGATTTTTATTGAATTCACATGCTGTGGTGAGATTTGAACCAGGGTCCCTCGAACATTACCTGGGTTTCTGCATTATTAGTGTAATGATAATACCACGAGCTATTAGTGGTATTCAATTCCACTGCATGCTGTAACAACTGTTATGTTTTGGGATTGTTCCTTTAGTTTAAGACTAAGGGAACGGTACATGTGATCATTTCTGAAGTGTGACTGACAGCAAGCCTGGCAGGTTAGATTGCTGGAGATTAAATGGTTTTACATGGAAGGCATCGCAAGGTGTTTACACTTGGGCCAGTGGCAGGAGCCCAAGAGCCAATGGTGGATAGACTGTGAGGCTCCGAAGCCCAACAAATGTTTGAGAATGTTGTGTGTAAATGGATGTACATTAAACTCTGTTTACTTCCTGGTAAAAGAGTTTTGGCATCTCCTTCAGGAATGTAGGTGTAGCTGGCTGGGCCAGCATTTATTACCCATCCCTAGTTGCCCTTGAGAAGGTGGTGGTGAACTGCTTTCTTGAACCCTCCAGCTCATGTGCTGTAGGTTGACCCATAATGCCCTTAGGGAAGGAATTCCAGGATTTTGACCCAGCGACAGTGAAGGAACGGCGATATATTTCCAAGTCAGGATGGTGAGTGGCCTGGAGGGGAACTTGCAGGGGGTGGTGTTCCCATGTATCTGCTGCCCTTGTCCTTCTCGATGGAAGTGGTCGTGGGTTTGGAAGATGCTGTCTCAGGATCTTTGGTGAATTTCCCAGAATATGATGTACTCTTGTAGCCACTGTACTTATATGGTGGGTCCTGTTCAGTTTAAGGGGGTTTCAGTGATGGTGAGGTGATGGAATGTCAGGAACGATGATTAGATTGTCTCTTGATGGCGATGGTCATAGCCTGGCATTTGTGTGGCACGAATGTCACTTGCCACTTGTCAGCCTGAGCCTGGATATTGTCCAGATCTTGTCACATTTGAACACGGACTGCTTCAGCATCTGAGGAGTCAGGAATGGTGCTGAACATTGTGCAATCATCAGCGAACATCCCCACCTCTGACCTTATGATGGAGGGAAGGTCATTGATGAAGCAGCTGAAGATGGTTGGGCCGAGCACATTACCCTGAGGAACTCCTGCGGAGATGTCCTAGAGCTGAGATGACTGACCTCCCCCAACCACAACCATGTTTTGTTCGTGATTTAAAGTATAAATTGCCTATGAGTTAGTCAATAGTATAATGTTTAGTCTTTTGTTACTGTAAAGTCATAAAAGTAAAATCTTGCTATGACATTCTTTCAGCTATTATCTGGAAGTATGAATTTCCTATTTAAACAGTCATCAGTCTTCATGGAGATTGTAATACTGCTTGTGTCCTGGGTTAGTAACGGAGATCCTCAGCAGAGACTACAGTCTGCTCACTGCTATCTAGGGCCAGGAACTGTGCCCTATCAGCCTTAATTTCCTTGGGAATAGGAAGAGGCAAAGGACAGGTGAAAAAAATGACAAAATCAGCAACACAGAGAAATTGAATGAGGAAAGGAGCAAGATGTTGCCGGGAATGGAGGGTTTGAGTTATAAGGAGAGGCTGGGACCTTTTTCGCTGGAGGGTAGGAGGTTGAGGGATGACATTATAGAGGATTATAAAATCAAGATGAGCGCAAGTAAGGTGAATAACAAGGGTCTTTTCTCCAGGTTGGGGGTTTCAAAACTGCAGGCCATATTTTTAAGATGAGAGGGAAATTTTTAAAAAGGACGTGAGGGGCTTTATGGTCAGTGTGAACTAGCTGAACCAATGAGTCTGTTTCCATGCTGTATGACTCTATAATAGAGAAACAGTAGAAAATGTAGAGTCTGAGAGATACATGGAGAAAGGGAGAGAGAATGGGGATACAGAAGAAGCAGGAGAGATGACAAAGTGAGAGAGAGGCCAACAGAGGAGGATGAGGGGGAGAGAATGACAGAGGAGGGAGAGATTGACAGAGCAGGGGAAGAGAGAGAGATGAACAGAGGGGGGGGGCGAAGGGAGAGAAACGAAGGAAAACGAGGGGAGAGAGAGACAGAGGAGAGAAAGGGGCGAGAGAGACAGAGGATGGAGAGGGGAGACAGAGCGACAGGTGAGGGGGGAGAGGGGAGAGAGAGCGACAGAGGAGGAAGAGGAGAGAGAGAGCGACAGAGGAGGGAGAGAGGGACAGTGGGAGGAGAGACAGAGGGGAGGGAGGGAGAGACAGAGGAGGGACACAGGAGGGAGAGAGGAGAGAGAGAAAGAGAGAGAGAGACAGGGTGGAAGAGTGGAGATAGTTTTGGGTGGAATAGAGGAGAAAGTATTGAGAAATATAGAATAGAGAGAGAGAGCAAGCTGGACAGACGGACTAAAGAGACAGATGAGGAAGGGTGGGAAAGCTCAGGATAGGTGAGAAAGGCAAAAATGGTACAAAGGAAGAATAGGTGAACAGCGCAAGACAAAATGGGAGGAGATGTGAAGAGCCAGACAGGATGAGAGTGAGAGAGAAAGAAGTTAAATTTACTCCACCTGTGACATGTGAGAAATGACTGTTGACAAATCTTGGTGTTCAGTGACTAGGGTAGAATGTTCAGCCAGGACATGTAAAGAGTGCTGGAGAGGAAGACAGACTGGGTACACATTATACACTTCACTAACCTGCTCAATTCCTTCACCCATAACACTGGGGGACACGGTCACCACTTGGATTCAAACCATTCATCAAGCAAGGTCACCATTCCCTCCTCAGGGCAATAATGTGAAAGGGGGAGAAAGGGGGTGAAAGGAGGTAGCAGGTTTCACTCTGCCGAGTTCAGTTTGGTGTGATGCTGTAGTGTGAGCTAACCCACGTTCATTCCCATTGCAACCCTGGGCATGCCCCCTCACCGTTTATCACATATTAATGTGGCAGGTGCCTTCACCCAATAAGTGACCAGGACTTCCAAAGGGAGGAGGAGGAGGCAGAGGAGCTCCACGTCAGGTGAATTAACCCTTTGTTTTCAGTCCTTAGAAGAGCAACAATCAAGAAGGGACGAATGGAGATGATCCACACAGAATCGAGTGACGACCACTACACCGAAATCTCTTCTGTCGGTATGTCTCACCAACATACTGCCCCTTAGGGGCATCTTTTGTAAAAGTCAGTGAGCTGTGTGGAGGATGCAGTAAAGAAGGCAAGGGCATGTTGGCCTGCATAGTGAGAGGATTGGAGCACAGGAGCAGGGATGTCTTGCTGCAGTTGTACAGGGCTTTAGTGAGACCACAGCTGGAGGACTATCTGCAGTTTTGGTCTCCTTATTTGAGGAACAATGTACTGCCTATGGAGGGAGGGCAATAATAATTTACCAGATTGATTCTGAGATTCTGCAGGACTGACGTTTGAAGAGGGAATGGATCAGTTAGGACTATATTCATTGGAGTTTAGAAGAATGAGGGGAAATCACATCAAAATGTATAAAATTCCAACAGGAATAGACAGGGTAAATCCAGGAAGGATGTTCTTGATGACCGGGGGAGTCCAGAGCTAGAGATCACAGTTTAAGGACAACAGGGTGGGTCATTTTGGACTAAGTTGAGGTGAAAGGTCTTCACCCAAAGAATGGTGAACCTGTGGAATTCTCTGCCACAGCAAGCAGTTCAGCTCAAAACATTGAATGTTTTCAGTGAGTTATATATAGTTCTTACAAATAAAGGGATCAAAGGGCATGGGAAGCAAGCGGGAGCAGGCTATTGAGTTGGATGACTTCAATCATATTGAATGGCAGAGCAGGCTTAAGGGGCTGAATGGCCAACTCCTCCCCCAATCTTCTATTGTCCTATGTTTCTAATACTAACCCTTGCCACCATGACCTCTAAGCTGTTTCTGGTTTAGTACATAGTGATGGAGTGGAAATTTCCTCCATTTAAATAGAGGGGCCTTGTCTTTGGCTTCCACCACAAAGTCTACCCGAAAGGTGCTCATTCTGTGCTCAGTGCCCCGTTTGACACAATATCTACCAGTCCAAAGATGTGCAGACTAGGTGGATTGGCCAGGCTAAATTGCCCATAGTGTTCAGGGATGTGTAGATTAGGGTTATAGAGAGATGGGTCTGGGTGGGATGCTCTGAGGGTCGGTGTGGACTTGTTGGGCCGAAGGGCCTGTTCCCACACTGTAGGGATTCTATGATCTATGATCTATAATCTGTGTCCATCCTGGCCCTCCTCCAGTGCCGCAGTGAGGCCACACGCAAACTGGAGGAACAACACCTCATTTTCCGTCTCGGGAGCCTGCAGTCCAATGGCCTGAATGTAGAAATCACCAGTTTAAAATCTTCCCACCCACCCCTGGCCTCATCCCATGTCCAACCCCCACCTCCCCACCCCCCATCACCGCCTCCTTGACCTGACACAACCTGTCCATCTACTTTCTCATCTATTTGCCCCACCCTTCCCACTGACCAATCCCCACCACCCACTACCTGCATCCACCTATCACTATCCCACCTACATTCCCCCAGCCCCACCCCTCCTCCCTCTATTTATTTCCCAACTCCCTTCCCCCTCCCCAGTTCTGAAGAAGGGTCCAGGCCCGAAACATCGACTCTTTTTCTCCTCTGATGCTGCCTGGCCTGCTGCGTTCCTCCAGCTCCACACTGTATTGACATCATTCTTAGTCTAGGCATCATTACTATCCCAGGATCATTACTATCCCAGGATCATTATTATCCAGCTACCATTTTTGTCTGGGTAACATTATTATCCAAGAATCATTATTAGTCCAGGATTCATTATTAGACCAGATTTCATTATTGGTCCATATATCATTATAATCCAGGCATCATTATTAGAACAGAAATCATTATTAAATAGGTGGCAATATTGTGCAGGTACCATTATCATCTGGGTATCAGTGTTAGACCAAGAATCATTATTAAATAGGTGAAGTTAATGTCTGGGTATAATTACTCAGGTGTTATGAATCCAGGTATCAATATAATGTGCCTGTGAGGGTTTACCCTAGGTGCTGTAGTTTCCTCCCACAGTCCCAGATGTGCAAGTTAGGTGGATTGGCCATGCTTAATTACCATAGTGTTCAGGGATGTGTAGGTTGGGTGCAATAGCCATGGGAAATGCAGGATAATAGGAATTGGGTAGGGGGATGCATTTGGGTGGGATGCTATTTGGAGGGTTAGTGTGGACTGGTTTTGCCAAATGGCCTATTTCCACACTGTAGAGATTCTGTGGATTATAATGGCAACTGGAGTAGTAGTGATCACAAAAGGATAAAAAGATGCCTGGAATAGTAATGACATCTGAATAATAATGATAGCTGTTTAATGACCTGGGGTAATAATGATACGCGATGTAATAGCGGTAGCTGAATAATAATGATACCTGGACCGATAATGATCCCTGGTTTAATAATGATATCTAATAATGATACCCAGACTGATACCTGAATTAATAATGATTTGAGGATGATAATGATACATATAGAAGAAGAATAGCTATTTAAGAATGGCTAGAGACAAAAAAACTGCAGATGCTGGAATCCAAGATAAACAAACAGGAGGCTGGAAGAATTTAAGAATGATACCTGGACTAATAATGACATACCAATGATACTTGGATAAAGATTCTTGAATAATGGTAGCATAGTGGACAGTCAAGACCTCCAGTAGAACAGGACCTTGATCAGATAGGCCGATGGGCCGAGGAGTGGCAGATGGAGTTTAATTTAGATAAATGTGAGGTGCTGCATTTTGGAAAGGCAAATCAGGGCAGGACTTATACACTTAATGGTAAGGTCCTGGGGAGTGTTGCCAAACAAAGAGACCTTGGAGTGCAGGTTGATAGTTCCTTGAAAGTGAAGTCGCAGGTAGCGAAGAAGGCATTTGATATGCTTGCCTATATTGGTCAGTACATTTGAGTATAAGAATTGGGAGGTCATATGGCATCCGTACAGGACATTGGTTAAGCCAGTAATGCTGGCAAATGGGGTGAGATCAATTTAGGATATCTGTTCGGCTTGGATGAGTTGGACTGATTTGGTCTGTTTCCATGTTGTACTTCTCCACGGTGCTATGATTCTGCTAGTCCATGTGTCGAGATTATCCTTGTATCTCATTAGGTATCATTATTAACAAGGTAACATTGAGCCTATCCAATGTATTGTCAATATCAAGATGTAGTATAATTTTAGTTCAGTTATCAGTGATTGTACATTTGTCACAAATATAGACATTACCTTATTATGCAGGAATCATTATTATCCAAGTATAATTGTTAGTTCAGGTATTATTATCTGGGAATCATTATTATCCAGCTATCATAATTATCCAACTATTGTCATTAGAACAGGTGCCATTATTAGTTAAAGTTATCCTGGTTTCATAATTAGTCCAAGTGTCACTACTGTCCAGATATTATCAATATCTAAGGATTGTCGTTATCTGGTTATCATTATTATATCAGATAATGTGATTACTCCAGGTACCATTATAGGTCCAGACATCATTGTTAGTCCAAGGATCATTATAATCCAGCCATCATTATTATTCAGATTTCATTGTTAGTCCACATTTCGTTCATATCCAGGTATCATTATTATCTGGGTATAATTATTAGCCCAGGAATTATTATTATCAGGGCATCATTATTGTTGAGGTACGATTGTGGTCTAGATCCAGCTGTTACTATCATCCAGCTATCACTATCATCCAGGTATCATTATTAACCAGATATCACTATTATCCAGCTATCTTTATTATCCTGATATCATTGTTAAAGAAGTATCATTGTTTATGAGGTTTCGTTATTAGTCCAGGTATCCTTATTATCCAGATATCATTATTGTCTACAGTCATGATTACCCAAGTATAATTATTACCCCAGTGTCATTATTATTCGCTATCACTATTATCCTAGGAATCATTTTTAGTGAGGTATTGTTATTTTCTGGGTTTCATTATTATTCAGGTATCATTATTAGTGAGGTGTAAGTATTAATCAAGTATTAATGTCAATCCAGTTGTTACCATTACTGAGGTATTATAATTAATCAAAAATTACAATCAGTCCATGTTTCATTATTATCAAGTATCATTATTAATCTGGGTATCATTAATCAGCAATGTGCTTTTGTTATTATGCAGTTATTATGATTCCACAGGTATCGTTCCTATGCAGCTATCATTAGCTCAGGTATAACTATTTGTTCTGTATTCATTATCAGTAACGGTATGATTATTACATCATGCATAATTCTTCTGCTGTTACCATTATTACCCAAGTATCATTTATTATCTGGCTCTCATTATTATCCAGGGATCACTATGATCCAGGTACCATTATTGTCTAGGATATTATTATTATCTGGGTACCATTAATGGCTGGGTGTCATTTTTATCCAGGGATCATTCTTATTCAGGTATCATTGTTAGACTAGCACATAGAACATAGAATAGTACGACCCAGGAACAGGCTTTCACCCCACAATGTTGTGCTGAACATAACACCAAACTAAACTAATTCCTTCTGCCTGCCCATGGTCCATGTCCTTTCATATTCATGTGCTTATCTAAAAGTCCCTTAAACATCCCTATTGTATCTGCCTTCACCCCTCCCCATGGCAGCAGATTCCAGGCACCTACCTCTCTCTGTGTTAAAAAAAACTTGCCTCTCACATCTCTTTTGAATGACCCCCCCCTCCCCTTACCTTAAATGCATGTCCTCTATTATTAGACATTTCAAATCTGGGAAAAAGATCCTGATTGTCAAACCTATTTACACCTCTCATAATTTTATAAACTTCTATCAGGTCTCCCCTTTGCCTCTGCTGCTCCAGAGAAATAATCTGTCCAGCCTCTCCTTATAGCTCATAGCCCCTTATCCAGGCAGCATCCCTGGTAAACGTCTTCTGCACCATCTCCAAAGCCTTCACATCCTTCCTGTAATGTGGAGACCAGAATTGAACGCAATACTCTAAGTGCAGCCTAACCAAGCTTTCATAAAGCTGCAACATCACTTCCTGTTCTTAGGAAGGGTCACTCGACCTGAAACATTAACTCTCACTTTTCTCCACAGATGCTGCCAGACCTACTGAGCTTTTCCAGCAATTTCTGTTTGTGTTTCACTTCCTGACTCTTGTACTCAATTCCCCGACCAATAAAGACAAGCACGCCATATGACTCCTTTACCACCCTATATACTTGCGTGGCCACTTTCAGGAACTGGGAATCATTATTAGTCCAGGATTCCTTATTTGGCTAGGTATTACTATTAATCCAGGTATCATTAGTAATCAAGAAATCATTGTTATTCCAGGCATAATTATTATCCATTTATCATTATTAGTTTAGCTATTATAATTTATCTGGGTATCTTTATTATCTGGTTACATTATTCTGAGTTCTACAGAACTATTCTGCAGTTCTAAGGAAGCGTCACTTGACCTGAAATGTTAACTCTGATTTCTGTTCATAGGTGCTGCTAGACCTCCTGAGCTATTCCAGCAAGTTCTGTTTTTGTTTCTGATTTACAACATTGGCATTTCTTTCAGTTTTTATCTTTATTATCTAGGTATCTTTATTATCCAGGTATCTTTATTGTCTGGTTACATTATTATCCAGCTATCATTATTATTCAGATTTCATTATTAGTCCAGTTTTCGTTATTATCCAGCTATCATCATCATCCAGATTTCATTGTTTAGCCAAGTATTGTTATTATTCAGCTAATATTATTAGTCAGGTGTTAAATTATTATCCCAGCATCTTGGTGAGTCCATTTATCATTGTTATTCCTGTGATCATTATGATGCTGTTATCATTATCAGCTAGGCATTGTCATGGCCCAGGATTATTACTCCAGGTATCATTATCATGCAGCTGGAGAATACTTATTAGACCAGAAATGATTATTAGCTCATGTATCATTATTCCTTCAGCTATAATTATATGAATGGGTATCATTATTATCCAGATTTTATTATTCCAGGTATTGTTATAATGTTGGAATAAGTATTGTCCAGGTCTTCATTTTGATCAAGAACACTGGAGTGCTGTCAGGATGAACAGTCAGTTTCAGTGATGCCTTACCAAGTAATTATAGGGTTACAGACTGGAGGCCACCATTCAGCCAGCCATTGCGCATGCTGGCCCTTTGTAAGAGTTTCCCACCCAATTCCAGGCCCCTGCCGTTTCCACGCTGCTTATCGTATTTTTTAGATCGTTTCCTCCGAAATGCCACTGTTGAATCTGCCTTTTGCAATGAGCACGCTCTGCTTGCTTCGACCTGAGTTGGCCTCTTTGTCGCTCTTTCCAGGTTCGCCATTAGCGAGGGCCAGCATCAAGAGCACCAAGCTGCTGGAGGGCTCGTCCTATTTCCACCGGAAAGAACGCATGCTGCGCATCTCCATCCGTCACATGGTCAAGTCCCACGCCTTCTACTGGATTGTCCTGAGCCTGGTGGCCCTCAACACAGTATGCGTCGCTATTGTCCACTATGACCAGCCTTTGTGGCTCACCAACTTCCTCTGTGAGTACCAAGCGTTTGTTTCAGTGTGTTCCTGGGGAAGGAGGCCAGGCCATCCCAACTCTGGCAACAAGGGCAAGTTGTCCAACTCGTTGTGGTTGCTAGCTGCCTACTTCAGACTGAAATATCAACGTCCCACATTGGAATCCAGCCAAATCCGGCCAGATACATCAATGTTCCACTCCTAACCAGGCCGTCCCAATTTTGGGAATTGTAACTGACCCTGCCAGTGTTTTCTTTTTCGATATCAGAATTGCGCGTTCCTACTGTACTTTGTACAATGCACATCATAATGGCTTGGACACCGTGACTAACCATTTGTTCCCCAAGCTTGCCCCCACACCCCATAAGAAGTTGAGTCAACACAGAAGATTACTTAGTGTGAACAGATTTTCTCCAACATTTCCTCTGTGCTCCTGTCAGTATTGATACCTGGCTACAAGGTCATTCACACCCAAAGTTGTCCACCCCCGGGCCAATGTGTTGCAGCACCCTTGTGGCCGTGCACAGAATTACCAAGTGAGAGAGTCCCATTGTCATCACGTGTTCACCAGCCCGGAGTTTCCGAAAATACTTCGCAGCCAATCAAACCATTTCGAAACACGGACCCAAAATTATGCAAGAGCTTGCAGGAAGTAATGGGCAGGGCACTGTCAACAGAAGGAAGTCATGTGGACATTTGGTAACATCTCTCACATGGGACTGTCGGCTAAAGTTGAAACTCAGATTGGAAAAGCCACTGAACAGCAAGAGACGGAGAGTTGGGATAGTGTATGGGTATTCTGTCAGAACGTGATTAGTGATCACCAGAATCCCTGAAGGGGCCATAGCTGCTCCCTGTATTTGTTAGCACCTCAGATGCTGGCATGTAGAGCCATCAAAATGTTTCCATGTTGCACAGATAGATGGCATTGTGAGCAGTACTGACTACAAACAGATATTGGTAGATGGGGAACTCTCCAAGCGTAGAAAGGCTAGAAAGAGTGACGTGAGCTGAGGTTGGGTAGATGTGTGGGAGAAATGTCTCGGTATGTATTTTATTAGAAGCTCAGGAGCAGCTCCGATAACTGTAATGCGGGGGGACAGAAGAATTATTTTGACTATACAAGGCTCTGGCCCAATCACATCCCGAAACAGCTCTAGACACGACCACACCTCAGCCAGGAGGTTTTGACCTTGGAAGGAATTCAGCGTAAACTTATAAGAATGATAGCTGGACAGAGTTCATTTATGTTGTTCTCCTTGAAACTGTAAGGGCTGAGGAGAGATTTGGTAAGTTTTCAGGATGTTAAGGGGAACTGATAGTGCAGGCCCCTGTCCCCAACCATTTAAAATAATTTGTTTCCATCTACACTGAGTATCAGGGTCATGCCCTTCAAGAGTGGATTCAGGACTGATTTTCATGCAAAATGGCATGGCGATGTTTAAAATGTCAGCAGATGGAAGTTGATGCTGTGGTCTCCTCTACATTGGAGAAATGAAGCAGAGACTGGATGACCGCTTCACAGAACAACTATGTTCTGTTCACAAAAAAGACCCTGAGCTTCTTGTTGCCTGCCACTTCAACGTGCCACCCTGTTCCCTGGCCAACATCTCTGTCTCAGGCTTGCTGCAGGGCTCCAGCAAAGCTCAGTGCAATTTGGAGAGCAGCGCCTCATTTTCCACTGGGGAATCCCACAGCCTTCAAGACTCAATATCAAGTTCAACAATTTTAGGGGCTTGAGCATCTTTCCTCATTTTTTCTCCCACCCCCATGCACCAGGCCTCGTTATTACATGGGTTACTACAACACACTATCTAATGTCAGCTACTATTAGTCTCCATTAGCAGCTTTTCATTCCCCTAAACTGACCTTTATCCACTTCTTTGTCCGTCCAACTGTTTTTCCTCTCTCTTTGGGCTGTATCTCCACCTATCATTTACTCTCTGCAGTTCTCCTCCCCCTCTTCTGTATAAAAAACCATCCTTTTCCTAACAACCATCAGTTCTGAAGAAAGGTCACTGGACCCGAAATGTTAACTCTGATTTCTGACCGCAGATGCTGCCAGACCTGTTGAGATTTTCCAGTAATTTCTGTTTTTGTTTCAGATTTCCAGCAGCTGCAGTTCTGTTGGTTTCTTGTGTTGACGCGATGGTGTTTGGGCGATAAATTAGGAGTTGGGCTGTTGATCGGATCTGATCTCATCAAACATTGAATTGACTGGCAGAACAGAACGATGGGCTGAGTGGCCTACTCGTGTTCTGAAACCAGTGTCTGGACAGCAAGATCCCACAAGCAGAAACGAGTTGGTGCAGAACCTGTGGGTTTCAGAGAATTTGAAGTGACCATCTTGAAAGAGTTCGCGCTGCATCAGGCTGAATTTGGACTCAATTTTCCAATTCCAGACTTGGGACACAGAATCTAGCTTGGCCTTCCCAGTGCAGGATTGCGGGGTGGCTATACTGTCGGAGGAGCGGGCTAGAGGATGAAACATTAAAGTGGCCTGCGCTGTCAAGGGGAACAGAGAAGATCCACTGGTATCATTTTGACGAAGATCCAGGTGATTAGCCAGACTGACCAAAAACTCCCACTTCCATCAGTGCTACTGAGAACAGAGTATCTGGTCCCTTCTTCTCTGCTTGTGGGATCTTGCTGTGCACAAACAGCGGTGGCTGTACTCGGGAAGTACTTCGTTGGCACTGCAGGGTTTGGAATGTTCTGGGATCGGGAGAAGTTTTTCCCTTCCGTGATGTCAGGATGTGACTGATGGAACAGGGCCCCTGACCAAGTGGCCAAGGTAAAGCTGCTGCTGTTCTGAAAGGAGGGGGAGTACCCCGCTGCCCCAAATCAACACAGCTCCCACCCCTCATTCATACTCTCACTTCGCCCCACGCCAATACCCGAATACCCCCCACTCCAAGCTCACCTGCAGTGTGTGAACACCTTGTGGGAATGCAGTGGGAGGTATCTGGAGTGAAGGAATGGGTGACGCAGGACTGTTTGAACTGGTACAGACTGTGATGGCCTCTGGCATTGAAGTACAGACTTAGGTATCTGAATGGGATCATGTTGCCACTCCTGCATTGTCCACTGTTACTAACCCAAATATTTAATTTTTGCAGACTATGCCGAGTTCACCTTTCTGGGACTCTTTCTCTTCGAGATGTTTCTGAAGATGTACGGCTGCGGTCTGCGACTATACTTTCACTCCTCCTTCAATTGCTTTGACTGTGGGGTGAGAACATCGTTATCCTTCTTCTCAACTAGACATTCCTGCAGCATTCTGCATGGTATCAGGCCTCTGTAGTACAGTATGTCTGCCTGTGGTGTCTGATCCTCATAATACAGTGTGACTGTCTGTATTTACAGACCCCTGTAGTACAGGGTGACTGGCTATGGTATCAGGCCCCTGTAGTACAGGGTGACTGACTATGACAAATGAAATATTGTTCTGGGTGGATGAAAAAATACTGGGGAATCATTTCAGCATTACCAGTCCATAGACTTTATTTCTTTTCTTCCCAAGACCTCCTGTTCTTTAATCTCCTCCTGTCCAGATTCACAGATCTTTGCCAAGGACCAAAGAATTTACATATGGATTGTTCAGCTTCACAGTCACCGTTAGAGGCAGCAGCTGATATCAAATAGCAGGAAAGAATAACCGACAGCTTCCAGGCTTTGTTACTTTGCAGAGATATAAAAACAGACTGTGCGTCCTTCAATCTGAAGGCCTTCATCATTCACACACACCAACTGCCTATCACAGAGCTGAAGTCAGGCTAATGACCTGTGGTATCCATAACTGGTCCCAATTGTACCTACCAATCAGCAATCTGTTGTTGGCTAAATCTCACTTTACCCACACACCCTGTGCCATGGTGTCTTGTCCCTCCTCCTTCACTGCTTGAACAAAGCAAATGTGTAAACACAACTTCCAATGAGCTGCAGTAACTTGTTTTTTTAAAAGTGCAGCAATTCCTTCCCCAACCATTGGTTTTAAAACTGTCCTATGTTTTCATTTTGGTCTCCAGTCAAATTGCCTGTATTATTCTGTGACTGTCTCTTATCACGCCCTGTAAGAAATTATGACTAGTTTTGCCATCAGACCCCTGTGATACGTTCTGACCAGCTCTGCTGTCAGTCCCATGCACTGCAATATGACTGGCTGTTCTATTAGATACTTGTACTGCAGTGTGACTCACTGGTGTCAGAGCTCTGGAGGTACAATGTGACCAACTCTGGTTTCTGGTAGTAGTGGATGATTGACCTCCAAAAACTACAACCATCTTCCTGTGTGCCAGGTATGGCTCCAACCACCGGAGAGTTTGCCCCCGATACCTATTGATTCCAGTTTTGCTCGGGCTCCTTGATGCCACACTCGGTTGAATGCATCCTTGATGTCAAGGGCTGTCACTCACACCCCACCTCTGGAATTCAGCTCTTTTGTCCATGTTTGAACCAAGGCTGTAATGAGATCAGGAGCTGAGTGGCCCTGGCGGAACCCAAACTGGGCATCATTGAGCAGGTTATTGCTGAGCAGGTGCTGCTTGATAGCACTGTTACTGACACCTTCCATCACTTTCCTGATGATCGAGAGGAGACTGATGGGGCGGTAATTGGCCGGGTTGGATTTGTCGTGCTTTTTGTGTACAAGACATACTTGGGCAATTTTTCTGCATTGTCGGGTAGATACCACTGTTGTAACTGTACTGGAACAGCTTGGCTAGGGGAGCGATAAATTATGGAGCACTGGTCTTCAGTACTTTTGCTAGAACATTGTCAGGACCCATAGCCTTAGTAGTAACATTTCTTGCTATCACACGGGATGAATCAAATTGACTGAAGACTGGTACCTGTAATGCTGGGGACCACTGGAGGTGGCGGAGAATTTTTTTCAGTATCTTGTAATACAGTGTGAATGTCTCCATAAACAGACACCTGCAGTGCTTCGGTATCAGTTCCTCCTATATCGTGTTCCGTCCGTAGTTGATACAAGACACTGGTGATACTGTGAGACTTTTCGTTGTTTCATAGAATCCTTGCAGTGTGGAAACAGGCCCTTCAGCCCAACAAGTCCACACCGACCCAGAGAGCATCCCACCCAGATCCATCCCCCTATAACCCATCTAATCTACACATCCCTCATCACTATGAGCAATTTTTCATGGCCAATCCACCTAGCCTGCACATCTTTTGGACTGTGGAAGGAAACCGGAGCACCCGGAGGAAACCCACACAGACACGGGGAGATTGTGCAAACTCCACACAGACAGTCGCCCGAGGGTGGAATCGAACACAGGTTCCTGGCACTGTGAGGCAGCAGTGCTAACCACTGAGCCACCATGCTGTTATGTTAGACTATTATTGTTGAAGTTCATGTGGAATTACAGATCCCTGCAGCAATTCATCATTGGCTTTTCCTGATTATTCCAGCTTGGACTGCACCCTGTGTTCTCCGTGTCCCATTCCCTGTGTGTATCCTGACCAATATCCCAGTTTGTCTGTGTGACTAATGTCTAGGTTTATTTGAGTCTATAAATCACTCTACAATACCTCTGCACTGTATCACAGACTGTGTATCTAATTAAGCCCTGTGCTTGGCAGGTGATTATCGGCAGTATATTTGATGTGGTTTGGACCATGATTCGCCCAGAGACATCGTTTGGTATCAGTGTACTCCGAGCACTGCGACTGCTCAGGATATTTAAAGTCACAAAGTGAGTATGGATCAGAACAATAGCTCAGTCAGACCCCCCACACATTGGTTTTGGCTGTTTCCCCCTCCTCACAGCTTCACCGGTACACTGGTACCAGTTTCTTACTGGTTTTCCCCACACAGACGCTGGTACCAGTTTCTTACTGGTTTCCCCACACGGACACTGGTACCAGTTTCTTACTGGTTTCCCTACACCGACACTGGTACCAGTTTCTTACTGGTTTCCCCACACAGTCACTGGTACCAGTTTCTTACTGGTTTTTCCCACACAGACACTGGTACCAGTTTCTTACTGGTTTCCCTACACATGCTGGTACCAGTTTCTTACTGGTTTCCCCACACAGACACTAGTACCAGTTTCTTACTGATTTCCCCACACAGACACTGGTACCAGCTCCTCACTGGTTTCCCCACACATGCGAGCAGCAGGTTTATATTTTGTATGATCTCCTCTACATTGTTCCTGTTGCCCGATAATGCCTTCTCTTGATGTTCCTCAGGTACTGGGCATCTCTGCGCAACCTGGTTGTTTCATTAATGAGTTCAATGAAATCCATCATCAGTCTGCTGTTTCTTCTCTTTCTCTTCATCGTTGTGTTTGCACTGCTGGGGATGCAGCTCTTTGGTGGACAGTGAGTATCCCCCATCACACTTTACCCTCCATCAATGAGCCCAGCTTGGTTGACACCACTCGCTATTTTAATTTCGCGATGTTAAATACTCAGACTGTCCCTGCTTCCCCACGTGGCCCTTTCTGACTGTTCCACTTCTTCACTTTGTCTGCAGGTTCAACTTTGAGGATGGCACCCCACCGACCAACTTTGACACCTTTCCTGCGGCGATCATCACAGTGTTTCAGGTATGAACAACTGTACACTCTCAATGGTGTGTAAAAATGCAAACTTGTCAGAGAAAATCGGAGAGGGGAGCAGCCTTACCGTTCAGGGCAAAACTAAGAACAAAATAACTCCACGTCTGGTATTGGTCATATACAGTGAGGTCAAGTAACAGCAGCCAGAGAGCAGTGACAGTGTTTAACAACAGACAGAGAGCAGTGACGGTGTTTTACAGCAGACAGAGAGGCGTGATGGTGTTTTACAGCAGACAGAGAGGCGTGATGGTGTTTTACAGCAGACAGAGAGGGGTGGCGGTGTTTTACAGCAGACAGAGAGGGGTGGCGGTGTTTTACAGCAGACAGAGAGGGGTGACAGTGTTTAACAACAGACAGACAGGGGTGACGGTGTTTTACAGCAGACAGAGATGGGTGACGGTGTTTTACAGCAGACAGAGAGGGGTGACGGTGTTTAATGGCAGACAGAGAGGGGTGGCGGTGTTTAATGTCAGACAGAGAGGGGTGATCGTGTTTAATGACAGACAGAGAGGGGTAATGGTGTTTAATGACAGACAGAAAGGGGTGATGGCGTTTAATGGCAGACAGAGAGGGGTAATGATGTTTAATGACAGACAGAGAGGTGTGACAGTGTTTTACAGCAGACAGAGAGGAGTGTTTTTGTTTAATGGCTGACAGAGAGGGGTGATGGTGTTTAATGGCAGACAGAGAGGGGTGATGGCGTTTAATGGCAGACAGAGAGAGGTGATGGTGCATGATGGCAGACAGAGAGGGGTGATGGTGTTTAACAACAGACAGAGAGGGGTGATGGTGTTTAATGACAGACAGAGAGGGGTGATGGTGTTTATTGACAGACAGAGAGGGTGATGGTGTATAATGTCAGACAGAGAGAGGTGACAGTGTTTTATAGCAGGCAGAGACGGGTGACGGTGTGTAATGGCAGACTGAGAGGTGTGATGGTGGTTAACAGCAGACAGAGAGGGGTGATGGTGTTTAACAGCAGACAGAGAGGGGTGATGGTGTTTAACAGCAGACAGAGAGGGGTGATGGTGTTTATTGACAGACAGAGAGGGTGATGGTGTATAATGTCAGACAGAGAGGGGTGACAGTGTTTTATAGCAGGCAGAGAGGTGTATAATGGCAGACTGAGAGGTGTGATGGTGGTTAACAGCAGACAGAGAGGAGTGGGTGTTTAATGACAGACAGAGAGGGATGACGGTGTATAATGGCAGACATAGAGGGGTGATGGTGGTTAATGACTGACAGAGAGGGGTGATGGTGTTTAACAGCAGACAGAGAGGGGTGATGGTGCTTAACAGCAGACAGAGAGGGGTGATGGTGTATAATGGCAGACAGAGACTGGGATTTGGTGTGGAATATGTCTCACAGCTGTAAACCCTTTGCCTTGATTTCTCACTGGCACTCGTGCATTGCAGCAACCAACTCCTGCTCTGAACTATTTCCAGATTTGATCTTTGTTTGTAGGGTGTACTGATGCTGCTGTGACTAAGACAGAATCTTTTCTCTGTAGATTTTAACGGGTGAGGACTGGAATGAGGTGATGTACAACGGCATAAAATCCCAGGGCGGAGTGAACTCAGGAATGTGGTCATCTGTCTATTTCATTGTCCTTACACTCTTTGGAAACTGTATCCTTTCACCAAGAATCACATCCTGTTCTCTCTGGTTTTCGGTTTGTGTGCTGGGCTTTATCTGTGTGGCACTCAAATGATTTTGTGATCTTTGTAAAATATGGGAAGGTGGCCGGTGTGGCTTAGGTGAGAGAACATTCTTGAATTGTCATCCAAGTGCATTAGTTGCTCACTGACTCTGACCCCTCAGCCGCCACACTCAAGATATTAGAGGCAGTACCAAACTGGTAGGACATGTCACCATGGTAACCATTACAATGAAGACACCGGTTTTGAATATTGACCAGAGTTAGGTGGAGAATTGACATCTCACTGTGTGTCACGTCCACATTGTTTTGCAGCCTTCAAATTGTAAAATACTCACTCTTTCAGCTTGTCAGCCTCCACCTCGAGTCATGAGGAAGGAGCATCTGGGACCAGCCAACTGAGTCCTTTGTCGAGGCAATGAAGAATACAACAGGAACGATAGGCAATAAAAATACATCCGTAAAAAGGAGCCAAAGCAAGTCCAAAAGGGAAATATTGATTAATATGATAGAAGAGAAAAACACAGCAGAAGAAAGTAAAAATAACATTGTAAATTTTCAAAACCATTCACGAACATCGAATGAAACCCCATGTTTTAAATTGTCTGCTCCCCAGGCTGGAGGCAATTAATTACGTTGTAAATCCATCAACTTCTTTGTCAGGAAAGATCTTTCTGCTGTTAAGTACCAGCCCTAACTTTCTGCAGTGTGAGTGTGATGAGCCATTAGTGTGCAAATGAGGCAATGTTTCAAAAACACTCAACTAGAGGGCCCTCTTGTGGGACAATAGTAGTGTCCCTATCCCTGGACTGAGAGGGCTGGGTTGATCTGCTTCAGGGGTGTACAATAACATTCCTGATCAGGTTTGTTAGAAAAATAGGTTAATTTAGAAAAAATTCACCAGAGGATCCTCTTGTGGCACAATGGTAATGTCCTTAGTGCTGGACTGTGAGGCCTCAGTTCAAGTCCTACATACTCCAGAGGTGTATAAGAACAGGTTGATGAGATAGATAGGTTAAATTAAAATACTCACTGTTTGAGGGTGGGCTGCTACTGATGGAGTGGTACCAATCATCAATCTGTAGGAATTGACAGTTCTTCCTCAATACAAGCTGCACAGCGATTTACCCATTAAGAATTCTAAGAAACATGCCTCTCACTGTATTTCCCCAATGTGTTCCAGCTCACTCTTAAATCATGGAGAGCCATAGTTCCCCTGATACTGGAATCCAGATCCCCAAAGAGTGAATGATGCTAACCACACTCTGACGAACGCAAATTGGTGTGGGATATCTTGGGTTTAGCCTCATGTGACATGCCAGTGGGATTATGGGCTGGCAAAATTCTGCCACCTTGACTATGACACAGTTGCCATTCTGCTTACAAAATAAACTCAGCTCTGTAAGGAAAATGAGTGATGGGTCACTACAGCGTTTGAGGATAGAATTAGATTAAAAGTACAGGTGTGTAATATTTCCAAAATGAGTAGTAAGCCTGAGAATTGGGATTGTTTAGAAACTGGCTAAGTGTGACCAAAAAATTGATAAAATGTGAAAATATAACTCGCGGGTTAACTCACCTGACATATGAAATCAGATTCCAAGAAATTTTACAAGTTCAGTAAAGAAAGAAAAAGGAGAAAGTAAAAATTAATCCTTAAAGACTAATGCAGAATAAATTATAATGGGGAATGAGGAAATGACAGATGTCAAACCACTATTTTATATCTATCTTCTGAGCAGAAGACCCGAATAAGATGCCAGATGTTCTGGGGAACGAAGGATCTAATGAGATTTGAGGAACTTAAAGTAATTAATAAAGAACAAGTGTTAGAAAAAGTAATGGGACAAAAAGCCCACATATCTCCTGGACCTGATGATCTGCAACCTAGAGTTAAACAAGACGTGACTTCAGAGATACTGGATGCACTAGTTAGCATCTTACAACATTCCTCAAATGATGCCTTCTCGGTTGGAAAACTGTAAATGTTACACACTTTTGAAGAACTCTGGGAAGAGGAAAGAGAGAACTGCAGGCCAGTTAACCTGACATCGGTCTTCAGGAATATGATGGAATCTATTATTGAAGAAGTGGTAACAAAATGCTTAAAAGACTGTGTTATAATTGGGCAAGATCATTCCATGAAAGAGAAATTGTTTGGCAAATCTGTTACTGATTTTTGAGGACGTAACCAGTCAGATTGATAAAGGGGGAAGTAACATTCTTATTTGTTGACTGGGCTGGGCCAGCATTTATTACCCATCCCTAGGTGTCCTGGAGAAAGTGGAGGTGAGCTGCTTTCTTAACCGCTGCAGTCCATGTGCTGTAGGTTGACCGAGAATGCCAGAAAATTCCAGGATTTTGAGTGAGCCACAATGAAGGAACAGTGATATATCTCCAAGCCAGAATGGTGAGTGGCTTGGAGGGGAACTTGCAGTGGGTGGTGTTCCCAGGTATCTGCTGCCCTTGTCCTTCTAGATGAAAGTGGTGATTGTGGTTTAAAGGGAGCAGCAATGTAGTTTCTTCTGATTTTCAATAGTCACGAGATGAGGTGCCACAAAATAATTTGTTGCAGAGGATAGGGACTCATAGAATTGGGGGTTAGTACTTTGACATAGCTAGAGGATTGGCTAATTAACAGAAATGAGTAGAAACGAAAGGATGTAATACTAACCTGGAGGATGGGATCTCAGGATGCTGATAGAGTGCCGGTCTGATTACTGAGAATCACAATCAGCTGTCCAATTGAAACTGGAAGGGTGACAAACATCCTTTCTGATGATTGGCATCTGATCTGCCAGTTTATGTGGATCCCAGGACTGGAAGGTTAACCGTGTGTTGCTTTGCTCTTTCCTATAATTGAGTGAAATCTTTCCTGTACGGTTTGACGTTATCTGCTCACGTGTGCTGGATACAATTTTGGTCGCCTTCCTTGTGGAAGGGTGTAATTGCACTGAACTCAGTTCAGAGGAGGATCACTGTATTGACTCCAGAAATGAGGGCTTTGTCTTAAGAGGAGGGATTGAGCAGTTTAGGTCTATAACTCTCTGCAGTTTAGAACAATGGGAGGAGATCTAATTGAGGTCTTTAAGTTGCTAAAGGCGACTGACAAAGTAGACGCACAGTGCATGCTTCTTATGGGACAATCTAGAATGTGAAGTCATAGTTTTAGTATAAGGGGTGTCAGATTTAAAACAGAGAGGAAAACAAATTACTTCTCTCAAAAGGATGTGAATCTGTGGAATTCACTACCCCAGAGTTAAATGCTAGGTAACTGAGTAAATTTAAGGAGGAGATAGACTGATTTTAATTAGTAATGGGGTGAAGGTTTGGGGAAAGCAGACAGGAAAGTGGAGTTGAGGCTGAGATGACATCAGCCATGATCGTATTAAATGGCAGAGCAGACTCAAGGAGTTGAATAGTCTATTCCTGCTGCTAGTTCTTATACGGTGAATGGACAGTTCCTCATTTCCTTAACTCCGATGTAAAGACACCTTGCTCAATGTCTTCCTGGCCATCGCTGTGGATAATCTGGCCAATGCCCAAGAGCTAACAAAGGTAAAATAGCCTCTTTGTTGGTGGCATTCTATCAGCTTTCAATCAACTGGAATACATGGGAGACGGAGAGAGATTGTACAGATGAAAGACAATCTTGACTAAGAATCCATGCATTGCAATGTGGGAATGGAGCTTTGCACAGACCCCATGAAATATGGGCAAGAGAGCTGTCGCACAGTCTGGGGCTGACCTGCACAGCCTACAATCATACAGTGCACAAGAGGCCTTTTGGCCCATTGTGTCTGTACAGCCCAAGAAAATACACTACGAGCTACACTAGTCCCACTTCCTGACACTAGGCCCATAGTCTTGAATGTTATGATACCTCAAGTGCTCATCCAAGTACTTTTTAAAGGTTATGAGGTTTACTACCTCAACTACCCTCCGAGGCTGTGCATTCCAGACCCCACCACCCTCTGGGTGAAAATATTTTCCTCAAAAGCTCTCTAAAGTTCCTTTCTTTCACATTAAAAGTGAGCCAACTTGTTATTGACCCTTCAAAGAAGGAGAACAGCTGCTTTCTACTCACCCTGTCTATTCCCCTCACAACTTTATACACCTCTATCAGGTCCCCCCTCATCTTTCTGTGCTCCAAACAAAACAACCTGAGCTTATCCAGCCTCTCTTCACAGCGGAACTGCTCCATCCCAGGCAACATCCTGGTGAATCTCCTCTGCGCCCCCTCCAGTGCAATCACATCCTTGCGGTAACCAGGACTGCACACAGTGCTCCAGCTGTGGCCAAACAAAAGTCCTGTACAGCTCCAACATAACCCCCCTGCTCTTATAATCTATGCCATGACTGATAAAGGCAAGCATCGCGTATGCTTTATAACTGGCTTATTAACATGTTCTACCATCTTCAGGGATCTGTGGACAAGCACCCCAATATCCCTCTGTTTCTCTGAGCTTCCGAGTGTCCTGCTGTTCATTGAGTACTCCCTTGTCCCTTCTTCCAAAGTGCATAACTTCACAATTATCAGGGTTGAATTCCATCTGCCAGTGATCTGCCCATCTGACCAATCATTTGTACCCTCCTGCAATCCTTACTGTCAACCACCCAACCCATCTTTGCGTAATTCGTAAACTTTCTTAGCTTTCCGCCACATTCTCATCGACATTGTTTATGTGTGTATCACAAACAGTAAAGGACCCACTCAGCCTGTTCATCTCAGGATTTGCTGAACACATTTGATGTCGCTTGTGCGAGGGTCACTTTGGAAAGTTCTGCATCCCTCTTCGCCAATTCAGCACTTGGCAGTTTGGGTCACCAGTGAATTAGCCACAAGCCTGCGCTGTGAGTGGGACCCTGGTCAATGTGTAGACCTTCCCATAGCGTGGGCAGTGCGTGGACCTGCCATCCATAATTACAAAGTGCACGGTAGGAAATCCCCCATTCCTTTTGAGCCAGTGAACATTGCTATCTGAGATGTAAGTGAGAGGGGCCCACTTTTGGAGGGAAGAAAAAGAGCCTGATCACATTTGTTCCTGCTGTCAGTGGGTAGTGTGTCTGCCTCTGAGCCAGATGCAAGGATCCAGTCCCAAGAATAGAATCATAGAGTGTGGTCGAGGCCCTTCAGCCTATCGACATGTGAGAAATACCTAACCTTCGACCTAATCCCGTTCACCAGCTCTCTTTACCCATAGCCTTGATTGTTACGACACACCATGTGCCTAAGCCAGATAACTTTTTAAAGGATGTGAGGCAATTCTTTCCCTCAACACCCTTCCAGGCAGTGCATTCCAGACTGTCACCACCCGTCTGGGTTGAAAAAGAAAGATTTTCCTCTCATCCCACACAGAAAGAGACAGACAAGACATTGACAGTGCTTCTGGGCTAAAATAGGTCCATTGGCCATCTGTGAATGCCACCAGCCTGCCTGCAGAAGAGAATCTGGTGAAGTAGAACCAGGAGATGCTGCAGCATGGGATCTGAGTGAGGGCTGTACCCATGGCGACAGTGGTCCGGGTCTCGGAAGGGTGCTGAGGATGGTGACATTGACTAGGGCTCACTGTTCCCACCTAGGAGGAGCAGGAAGAAGAGGAGGCCATCAACCAGAAACACGCGCTGCAAAAAGCAAAAGAGGTCAGCCCGATGTCCGCACCTGGCTTCCCTTCGACTGAGTGAGTGGACATGACATGCCTCAAGCCACACTGAGGGTCTAGTATCATCTGATGGGTGGATGTGGGTTAGGGGGGTGGGGGATAAGGGCTGTATCCCCAGCAATTAGCCAACGTTCACCGCATGAGTATCGTGCTCGTACAAGGAGCTGCTCAGCGGCATGTAACGTGGCTTTGTTTCGGGCTGTGCCAAGATGTGGGATGTCACAGACAGATTGATTGAAACAGTGAGATAGAGGCACTAGGACAACTATAGATAGAGTGGAGAAGTTACACTGTCTCAAATGCCAGAGTGGGAGAGAGGAATGTTTCAGATTGAGGAGAGAGACAAGGATTAGAGTGACTCAGACACAGGAGAGAGAGGGTTTAGAGTGTGTCAGATAGAGGAGCGTGAGAGAGGGATTAGTGTATCTCGGATAGAGGAGAGTGAGAGAGGGATTAAAGTGTCTTAGACAGAGGAGTGTGAGACAGGGATTAGAGTGTCTCAGATAGAGGAGAGTGTGAGAGGGATTAGAGGATCTCAGATACAGGAGAGTGAGAGAGGGATGAGAGTGTTCCAGATAGAGGAGAATGAGAGAGGGATTAGTGTGTCTCAGATAGAGGAGAGCGACAGAGGGATGAGAGTGTCTCAGATAGAGGAGAACGAGAGAGAGATTACAGTGTCTCAGATACAGGAGCGTGAGAGAGGGATGAGAGTGTTTCAGATAGAGGAGAATGAGAGAGTGATTAGTGTGTCTCAGACAGAGGAGAATGAGTGAGGGATTACAGTGACTCAGATATAGGAGAGTGAGAGAGGTATTAGAGTGTCTCAGATAGAGTAGAGTAAGAGAGGGATTAGAGTGTCTCAGATAGAGGAAGCAAGAGAGGGATGAGAGTGTCTCATTTGGAGGAGAGTGAGAAACGGATTAGAGTGTCTCAGATAGAGGAGAGTGAGAGAAGGATGAGAGTGTTTCAGAGAGAGGGGAATGAGAGAGGGATTAGAGTGTCTCAGATAGAGGAGAGTGAGAGAGGTATTAGAGTGTCTCAGTTAAAGGAGAGTGAGAGAGGGATGAGAAGATCTCAGATACAAGAGAGTGAGAGAGGGATGAGAGTGTTTCAGATAGAGGAGAATGAGAGAGGGATGAGAGTGTCTCAGATAGAGGAGAGCGACAGAGAGATGAGAGTGTCTCAGTTGGAGGAGAGTGAGAAACGGATTAGAGTGTCTCAGATAGAGGAGAGTGAAAGAGAGATTAAATTGTCGCAGATAGAGGAGAGTGGGTGAGGGATTAGAGTGTCTCAGATAGAGGAGAGTGAGAGAGGGATTAGATTGTCTCATATAGAGGAGAGCAAGAGAGATATGAGAGTGTCTCAGATAGATGAGAGTAGTGAGGGATTAGAGTGTCTCAGATAGAGGACTGTGAGAGAGGGATTAGAGTGTTTCAGATGGTGCAGAAGGAGAGAGGGATTAGTGTCTCAGAGAGAGTAGAATGAGAGAGGGATCAGAGTGTCTCAGACAAGGAAAGTGAGAGGGATTAGAGTGTCTCAGATAGAGGAGAGTGAGAGAGGGATTAGAGTGTTTCAGATGGTGCAGAATGAGAGAGGGATTAGTGTGTCTCAGAGAGAGGAAAATGAGAGAGGGATCAGAGTGTCTCAGATAGAGAAGTGTGAGAGAAGGATTAGAGTCTTTCAGAGAGAGGAGAATGAGAGAGAGATTAGAGTGTCTCAGATAGAGGAGAGTGAGAGATGGATTAGAGGATCTCAGATACAGGAGAGTGAGAAAGGGATGAGAGTGTTTCAGATCGAGGAGAATGAGAGAGGGATTAGTGTGTCTCAGATAGAGTAGAATGAGAGAGGGCTTGGAGTGTCTCAGATAGAGGAGAGTGAGAGAGAGATTAAAGTGTCTCAGATAGTGGAGAGTAAGAGAGGTATTAGAGTGTCTCAGACAGAGGTGAGTGAGAGAGGGATTAGATTGTCTCTGATAGAGGAGAGCAAGAGAGGCATGAGAGTGGCTCAGATACAGGAGAGTAATGAGGGATTGGAGTGTCTCAGGTAGTGGAGAGTGAGAGAGGGATTAAAGTTTCTCAGATCGAGGAGAGTGGGTGAGAGATTAGAGTGTCTCAGATAGTGGAGTGTGAGAGAGGGATTAGAGTATCTCAGATAGAGGAAAGTGAGAGAGGGATTGGAGTGTCTTCGATAGAGGAATGTGACACAGGGATTAAAGTGTCTCAGATACAGGAGAGTGAGAGAGGGATGAGAGTGTTTCAGATTGTGCAGAATGAGAGAGGGATTAGTGTGTCTCACAGAGAGGAGAATGAGAGAGGGATCAGAGTGTCTCAGATAGAGGAGAGTGAGAGAGGGATTAGAGTGTGTCAGATCGAGGAGAGTGAGAGAGGGATTAGTATGTCACAGATAGAGGAGAATGAGAGAGGGATTAGAGTTTGTCAGATCGAGGAGAGCGACAGAGGGATTAGAATGTCTCAGATAGAGCAGAGTGAGAGAGGGATTAGAGCCTGTCAGATAGAGGAGAGCGACAGAATGATTGGAGTGTCTCAGATAGAGGAGAGTGAGAGAGGGAACAGAGTACCTCAGATACAGGAGAGTGTGAGAGGGATTTGAGAGTCTCAGATAGAAGAGTGTGAGAAGGATTAGAGTATCTCAGATAGAGGAGTGTTGGAGAGGGATTCGAGTGTCTCAGAAAGAGGAGAGTTGGAGAGAGATTAGAGTGTCTCAGATTAGAGGAGAATGAGAGAGGGATTAGAGTGTCTCAGATAGAGGACCGTGAGAGAGGGATTAGAGTGTCTCAGATCGCGGAGAGCGACAGAGGGATGAGAGTGTCTCAGTTAGAGGAGAGTGAGAGAGGGATTAGAAGATCTCAGATACAGGAGAGTGAGA